GCACTGTCCTGGCTGTCCCACGACTGGCGGTTTACTGTTGACGGCCCTACCAGCTAGCTTTTTGTCTTGGGCGTGTTGTTTATCTTGGGGGTAGCTGAACTAGTTGTCCAAATGTCATTCCAGCTTTAAACGTTTATGATTCTCTGGATAATATTGTGAATAGGAAAGGTAGATTTCCTGATTAGATTTTGGAAGTAGACGTTTTACCTAGTGGGGAACTTGTAACACTATAAATATCAGATTGTTTTCTTTCAGAGGCTTGAGTTACTCTGATAATGTTATTTCTTAGAATGCATTAAATGGTGTCTTTGTACCTTATGTTCACTTCCTTTTCAAGTTTTCGTTTTCTATTTGAGTACTGCATAGAATTTTCGGATAAAAGAATATAATAATATACCCAAACACTTACATAATTTGTGATCCTGAACTTCAGTTTTCCTCCAGAGTTAGACTCCAAAGCACATCTTGCTTTTCTTTTTGCTGTTTGATCTAGAGGTCAAATGTGGAATGCTGCTGTTTTTTTGCTCTTAAATAACTTTTTTGAAAGTGTATGGTATGCAGTAAAAAGTTAAATTGATTCTGTTTTCCTATTTTAAAAGCTTAGATTAATCTCTGGATATCCCACTCCACCACAGAACCACGTATGGACACCCCCTGTCTGTTCAGAGGTCAGCTAGAGCGGTGGTCAGATGCTGCCCTTCTTTGGTTTTGCTCTAATTAAAATCTGCTGTTCAGCATCATTTTTCTGCTTCTGTCACAGTCATGGTTCTGAACCTAAAACGGTTTAGTGAACTAGTTAAGAAGTTATGTTTTATTTACCAAAATCTGGATCCAATTTCAAACCATTTATTTCTTCCCCTAACTCTTTCACCAGGGAAGGACAACTAAGGTTACCTTTGAGGCCTCCCTCATCACTCCTTAATAGGAAGATAGTCAGCTTTTAGGGTTTTCACATTAAACATCATTCACCATTTTGAGCATTTTTTAAAGTCATCATAAACATAAACCAGTATAACTTGGTTAATAAGACTCTCAGTTGACCAAAGTACTTCATTTTCCTGAGTATGTTTTTTTTTTTTTTAATTCAGAGATAAATGTTGATGTTTGCCAAAAATGAGTTTTGACACACTGTTAGTAAAATAATGAAGTCAATTTTAAGCTTTAATGAAACTGCGGGTACTTTATAGAAATCGTATGAATGAACTTTATTGAGACTTTACCATAGTGTGTAAATACTACATTTCCTCACAGCAAATGAAATCATTTTAAAAATAATTTCATTTTCAATAACATCACTAAATTAGAAATTTTTGAATTTTGAAGTTTGAAAACGCCTAGTAGGGCACAAAAAAGTTATTAGAAAACTGCAAAATCAGTAGTTTGGTGGAATTACGAGACGTATGCCTTTAGTTTATATGAATTCAACTATCTGGGCTGCTGTCCTGCCTCCCCCGTGACCTGCTCCAAAAGAGAGAAAGAAGAATTTTTTGCAGACTGTAAAACAATACTTGGCACATGAACCCTATTATATACTGTATATTACTATACATATTGCTATGCAGGATTATCTACACAAAACATATAGGTTGAGCTTAAGAGCTTTTCAAAGGAAATTTTTGCTATGTGTACTTTTTGCCTAGTAGGTTCTGACTTTAAATCTAATTCTAAGACACCACTCTGCTATAGCAACCTTGACGCTTATGTGAGGTCCACCTGGGTCATATAGTCAAGAGGCCGCAAATTTCTCACACATTCTCTTAGAAGTAGGGAACGTCGCTCCAGCAGAGTTTCAGCCTGCAGTGTCTCCCCCTTCCCCCAAGCCCACCAGGGATGGAAAGAAGCCTCGTGGTGTTGAGAGGTAGAGATTCTGGTTGTGGGAACTAACCCAGGAAATCACTCATGACCCGGAAGCAAGCACAGTGCCTGGTAGTGGTTACAGAAGAAGTGGTAGACATGGTCCCAGTTCTTAGCAGATGTGACGGTGAGACAAAATACGCTTGAGACGCAGAAGCTCAGCATTGTGGCCAGCGCCTCAGACCTTTCTTTGGCAGACTCCTGTTTCCTGCACTCTGCACCTCCTACCCCCTGTGCAGAAAGCGAACACACACGTGAACTGACACAAGAAGCATCGTGCCATGAGTAGCACCTACGTTTTCAGAAATACATGAAAGTGGTGATCGAGGTAAAGCTCCAGAGACTGACAGGACCACAAAAATCAGGTTAGACATGGGCAAGAGACGTAAGGAGTTTGTCCCCTTCCCCCTTATTTTTTATCCTTTACTGAAAACAAACGTTTTCTATACTTGACGTTGCACAGGCATAAAGGTGAGAGAATATCGTGATTTTTCGTGTTTACTACAGTGGCTCCCTCCCCCCATCCAGAAGGCAGTGATGAAGAGCACAGACTGGGGCCAGACTGTACGGAGATGGATCCCAGCTCTGCTGCTTCCTACCCGTGTGACTCTAGACAGGTTATTCTAATTCGTTATACTTCAGTTGACTTATCTGTAAAATGGCCATAATAATACCTATTAGGTTGTTGTGAAGATTAAATGAAATAATATATGTGAAGTGCTTAGATCAGTGCCTGGTACCCAGTGGGTGCTCTCTAAGAGCTCACTTTAATACTGTTATATAAAAGTTATCAGTTAGATCTATATGTGGCAATTAAACACATTTAAATGAATAAATATGTTTGCAGATCTAAGTGTAATGAATAAGAATTATTTATGGGCTTAGTCACCTGTGACATATTTTTCTTTCTTCTAGATGTGTAAAGGACGTAAATAAAACTTGTTTCTTTCCCTTTCAGTTGTTCATTTCTTTATTAGAAAATTAAAAGTCTCATTCTGCCAGACTTTGACGTAAAAGTTTTAGTCTCTGCGTACTGCAGTGCCTTTTCATGATGGATGCTCTGTATGTACTTGCTTAAAAAATAAAATTGACAGATCATTGGATTTACTTGATTAATTGGGTTTGAGGGTCAATGGAGGAAAGAATCAAAGTTGATTGAAGATGGTGAAGCTTGAAGTAGATGGTAGTAGTATTAATAATTATACACATTTATGTTTTGCTTACAAGTCATGGTCCTGATTGATGACATTACTTCGAGAGTATTTATTTTATTGAAGACAGGATTTGCAGACTTTTACCGTGTGACCTTGGCAAGTTACTTAACCTCTTTGTGCCTTAATTTTCTCATCTCTAAACTTACAATAATTTTACACATACCTTGAAGGGTTTTGGTGAAGATGAAATACAGTAGCTATAAAATGTTTAACTTCATTTACTGGTAAAATAAATGAAAGCTGTTATTACTATTATTACCACCATTATTATTACTTCCAAATATCTAATGGTTCATTGTGTGTTTTAATGATGGTATTTTTTCTGATGTACAGATTCTGTTTCTGAAATGTCTGATCATTTGAGTTTGTGAAAATCCCAAGGGCCCATGTTGTCTTGGGTTCCCTGCCCTCTTACATCTGCTACCTGAGCTTGGTCAAGCTCAAAATGAAGTGCCATTGAGGTTTACCCCCTGGGTTGGGGGTGGTGATGGGGCTCACAGGAGAGAGGAGAAGTCTTCTTGTTGATGCTTTTTCCAAGATACAGAGTTTTTCCTTGCTTATTTTACAAGGTAGACTTAGTCCACTGGTAGGTAACCGCTAATATGGTGATTAAAGTATGCCTCCCCTGACCCCACCTTCCTTCTCTGCTCCTCTTCTTGAACTCTGCCTAGGAGTAGCAGAAATTGCCTCATGACCGGAATTACATTTATAGGTACCGTCCTTGACCAGGATTTGGCATTTTAATCATGAGCGGTTTTCAGGTTGTATTGTGGAGGTTATTTTTGGAAAAGAAATAGCATTACATTGAGTAGTTAGGATGCTTGGTTTTTCTGTTTTGTTTTTAATTTCTAATTTTTTTCACCAAGGTTTTCTCTTTTCTTTAATATTGTTTGCAGAATGAAAGAATCATATCCATTGTTGCTCGTCCTTCCCTCTGCATTTTATAGTATCATAGAATTTTGAAAGCTGGAAGTTATGTTACCAGTTACCAGTTGCTGTTGAGTCAGTTCTGACTCATGGCAACCCCGTGCCTTTCTTCCGAGGAGGCTCGGGGTGAACTTGAACCTCCAGTCTTTCGGTTAACAGATGAATGCTTTAACCGTTACCACTACCCAGGCACTCCTTGGATGGTGTATTTGTGATCATTTATGTCCAGTCCCTTTATTTTTTAGATGAGGAAACTGAGAATTACAGAGTTGGAATTTTTGCTAGGCTGTATAACGAGTTAAATGACCTAGTGAACTAGTTAATAGTCTCAGTGAACTGAGATATTACCAAATTGATTTCATTGATCACTGTGGTACTCCAGGGGAGGGGGAGATTTCTTTAGATAGGGAGGTCAGGAAAGACTTAGTAGAAGAGGAAGTATTTGAGCAGAATATTTTAGGACAGACAGTATTTGTGTAAATAGGGTTGAAAGAAAAGCAACTTTCTGGAAGAATGGAATGATGGGAACATAAGTGGAAAGGCCAAAAAGATCACAAAATTCAGTAGATAGTGAATCAGTTCACTTTGTAGGTGAACAGTCTGAGATAAGGCAGGTAACTTTTTTTTTAAATAGATTTTACTGTGTTTTAGGTAAAAGTTTACATAGCAAATTAGATTCCCATTTAACAGTTCCCACACAACTTGTTCCATGGCTTTGGTTATATTTTTCATAATGTGTCAACATTCTCATTATTTCCATTCTTTCTGTTCTGTTTCCATTAATGTAGCTTCCCTGCCCCTCCTTAGCGTCTCATCTTTGTTTTAGGGTAAATGTTGACTGTTTGGTCTCATATAGTTGGTTATTTAAGGGAGCACAGTATTCACGAGTGGTATTGTTTATTTTATAATCCAGCCTATTATTTGGATGAAAGGTGACCACCGGGAGTGGCTTCAGTTCCAGCTTCAAAGGGCATCTTAAGGTGATAGTCTCGGGCATTCCTCTGGTCTCTATCAGTCCAGTAAGTCTGGCTGTTTTTAGGAATTTGAGTTTTGTTCTACATTTTCCTCCCTTTCTGTCCAGGACCTTCTATTGTGTCCCTGGTCAGAGTGGTGGATTAGTGGTTCTTCTGGTCTCATGCTAGATGATGCAGGTAACCTTTCTGCAGAAGTAATGTAGTCTACCCTTTGGGTAGTAGAGAGCTAATTCAAAATATATTTTTTATGTAGAAAATGACAAAGTTTTTTTATTAAAATTAATTTGTATAGCGTGAAGGATGGATCCAAAGTGAGAGAGTGACAGGAAACGGCATGCCCTGTTAAGATATAGTGTAGGTCCACTCATGATGTAATGAGACTTGGATTAGAGCAATTGGAGCAAGGTTGCAAAGTAACGGAGAGGAGAGCAGTGTCATGAAGGAAAAAATACAACTAGCACAACACGTGATGGGGGAGATAGAAAATTATGTAGACTCGCCCTCCCCTCAGAATGCCAACTCCTGAGTGTAAGTCTATGTGTTTGATTCAGGCTTTAACAGGTTAGGTCTGGTTATGTTATATAATCACCAGATTGTGTGATTCTGATTAATGTTTTCCCTTATAAGTGGGAAAATCTAGTTGTGTGAATAAGAAAACAGTTTTTTTTCCCCTTACTCAATTTCCTCCATTTGTCAGCATTGATGGAAAAATAAACTTTAGTGTTACGTTCTTTTCTTTAGAGTAGATATTTTCTCTAGATTGTTTATTGTTCGCTATTGTTTTTATTATTGAAGGGGAGGAAAAGGGTGTAGGTTTTTTAGCTACTAGGAGTTCAAATGCAATAATTAGTAAGGACACACAAATTTTGAAATAGTATTTTATGCCTCTTGATCTCAGGTACAAAACAGGAGATGAAGCAGTTAAATAGCAAAGCAAGACAGGAGGGACAGAGAATTAAAGTAAGTGTTTTCTATATATTGCATCTATGTTCCCATTAATCTCTGTTTTGTTATGTAACTGCTCATTCTGAATGTTCTGAATGTGAAGAAAACTATGAGTTAAAAAGGGTATATTTTAAAAGTTAGGTTTAGATAAACCCGTGAGAGTAAATGTTGTTTCGTATTCTTGGTTGTATTCAAAACATCATCTGCCTACAAATTGTAATCTTAATGTTCTTGAATAAGAAATTGAGTTATGATCATGTAAACTCCTTTTAAGTCTCTTGCCAGCAGATATCCAAAATGAAAGGACTCACATAGTGATCTCCATGTAAGCTAGTCCACGCTCCCATGTTTTCAGTCATACTTGCTGTTGAGATGCTCTAATGTAGATCTTTTGGAAAGAGACTTTATGTCAATTTCTCACCTTACTGTGAGGATCATTTAACTTTCTATGCCTAGGAAATAATATCTTTTATCAGAACTGACCTTTACAATTCTGTCTTTTTAAAAAATCTTCTCATTGTTTAATATTTTCAGTTAACAAGTGGAAACCAAAGCATATTAATCTTTGAAACTCTCTTTCGTCCCTTTCTGTAGTTGTTGAGGTCTTTCTTGACAGCCTCTTTACTAAATTGCTATTGAGTATTACATTGAGAAAGTTTAGAGATTTCTTATACATGAGAATAAAATCTAGGGCAGATTCTGACCGAACACAGTTTTAGGCGAATATAGCTTGTTTCTATTAATAGGAACACTGATAACTAGCCTTGGCCACAATATAATTTACAAAAGTACTTTCATATTGCCTGTTATGATCCTCACAACCAGCTCATCAAGAAGCCATTTTTTAAAAATTCTCTTCGTTTTTTGAGATGAGGAAATCAAGGCTCAGAGAAGGTAGTTAACTTGCCAGGTAGTAAACAACCAGTTAAGTGGTACAGCGAGGACTAGCAACCAGGCTTTATGACTCTAAATGACTGGCATTTTCTACCATATCACACTTACTAAGTATAAGAGAGACCTCAAAACAGTTGTGATTTCTCCTTGTCCAGAACTTTCAGGACACATTACTCTAGCAGTTGTAAAATGATGATATTGCTATTATTACTTCTTATGAAAATATTTTTCACATTTTCTACATAAAAACAGTGAGTCATGGATGATTCAGACAGGCTTGCTTCCTGGTCTCACCACCGTATTTGACATTGGACAAGGTCCTTCACTTCTGCGCCTCGTATTTCTCATCTGCAAAGAGATTGATCTCATAACAATTGTGTGAGAATTAAATAGAGGAAGCTTTATAAAGCATTTAGCACAATATCTGGAATTTATTAAGTACTCTTTAAGTGTTTGTTCTTCTCTGTTCCCCTTTTTTACTTCTGATCTCATGAAAACTTACCAGCCTTCTGATACGAAACCATGTTAGGAATCTTACACGTCTTGGATGCTCGCTGGAGAGACAGCTGTTCTGAATTCCTAGAGTATGTCTTCAGCAAGATAATGGACTTTCTTATGGTATTTAAATGCCCAACATGAAGTTCTGTAAGTTAGAAAAGTTAAATTCTGTTTATAAAATTTCATCTTTTGAAAAGTTCACTGCTTTACAGATTTTGGGATTTAGAGATTATTGGGAAAAAGACATGAGGCAATGCAGATTCTTATGACTAACCATAGAGTCTAAGGAGGAGGAGGCATTAATTCCTCAAATCTATTTTAAAAGAACATCTACATTACAAGGTAGTTAGGAGACCTAAAAGAGCTTATATATGTCAGAGGCTTAGCATGATCAAAAAATTTTAGTCCGTTTGTGATGTGCTTTTGTTATATACTCTAACATTTTTATTCTGAGTATAACAAGCCTGAAATGTTTTCCTTCAACATACTGATGTTTAGACTTTCAGTGCTATCAAATTGAAATAATTATTTTAATGCAGTTTATATCATAATCAATGTGCTGTTTTTTGCATGGAGCAGAGCATGTGATTTTATTTTTTAAATTTTTTTTCCCCATACAAAAATTTATACCTACATTGTTATGTGACTCTAATTGCTCTCCCCATACTGTGACAGCACACTCCTCCTTTCCACCCCTGATTCCCCATGTCCATTCAACCAGCTCCTAACACTCTCTGCCTTCCCATCTCACCTCTGGACAGAAGCTGCCCGTTTAATCTCTTCTTTATCTACTTGAGCTAAGAGGCACACTCCTCATGAGTACCACTTTGTGTGCCACAGTCCAGTCAAATCCCTGTCTGAAGAGTTGGCCTTGGAAATTGTTTCAGTTCTGGGCTGATAGAGAATCCCGGGGTCATGCTTTCCGGGGTGCCTCCAGTCTCAGTCAGACCATTAAGTCGGGTCTCCGTACTAGAATTTGAGTTCTGCACCCCACCTTTCTCCTGCTCCATCAGGGACTCTGTTGTATTCCCTGTCAGGGCGGTCATTGTGGAAGCCAGGCACCATCTAGTTCTTCTGGTCTCAGGCTGATAAAGTCTCTGGTTTATGTGGCCCTTTCTGTCTCTTGGGCTAATACTTTTCTTGTGTCTCTGGTGTTCTTCATTCTCCTTTATTCCAGGTAGATGGGACCAACTGATGCATCTTAGATGGGGGCTTACAAGCTTTTAAGATCTCCGATGCCACTCACCAAAGTAGGATGCAGAGCATTTTCTTAATCTTTGTTATGACAGTTGACCTAGATGTCCCCCGAAACCATGGTCCCCAGACCCCTACCCCTGCTACTCTGTCCTTCAAAGTGTTTGATTGTGTTCAGGAAACTTCTTAGTTTTGGTTTAGTCCAGTTGTGCTGACTTCCCCTGTAGTGTGTGCTGTCCTTCCCTTCACCTAATTCTTATCTACTATCTAGTTAGTAAATAACACTCCCCCTCCATCCCCACCCTCATAACCATCAAAGAATGTTTTCTTCTGTGTTTAAACTTTTTCTTGAATTCTTATAATAGTGGTCTTATACAATATTTGTCCTTCTGTAACAGACTAAATTCACTCAGCATAATGCCTTCCAGCTTCCTCCGTGTTATAAGATGTTTCGCGGCTTCATCGTTGTTCTTTATCGTTGCATAGTATTCTCTTGTGTGGATATACCATAATTTGTTTATCCATTGGTCCGTTGATGGGCACCTAGGTTGTTTCCATCTTTTTGCTATTGTGAACAGTGCTGCAGTGAGCATGGGTGTGCATATATCTATTCATGTGACGGCTCTTATTTCTCTAGGATATATTCCAAGGAGCGGGATAGCTGGATC